AAATAGCTGCTATAACTTCTACCGCTTAGACTTTGTTGCTTTTTCAATTTTTCCTTTGTTACACCGAAGTCAATAAGATCGGGTATTTTTTTGGGGGTCAGATGGCCAATACGTTGGCTGACAGGTAGACAAGACGTCAAATCCTCTGTTCTGGATTACTTTATATAGATTTCTACCCTTTGGTGTAACCAATCAAGACCCCCAGAATGTATGTTTGGCATTGTAATCTCCTGCTACAATAAACTTACTGCCAAACTTTAGAAAAAAGTCATTAAATTTTTTTTCTGTTATGTTATGACGATGGTGGCAGTATATAGCAGATACAGTAAGACCAACCAAGTGGTCATCAATGTGTATTCCAATGTTATGAATGAACTCATCACTTTGCGATTGTAATTCATAGTGCTTTATTCTGTTACGAATGAGAATAGCTGTTCCACCTCGGGCTTTACCTTGTGGATGCTTAGTATCATAGAATTTGTACCCATTAATTTGAAAGTTATTAAATTGCGTAAGGTGGGTTTCAGATACAAGCAAAACGTCTATATGATGTCACTCTAGGAAAATTTCTAGTTCGTTTTTATGCTGGGTTATCCCGTTCGCATTCCAAAATACAAATTTTGAGATTATTCATGGTTTAGCTAAAATGGCTTGAAGTAATAGATTTTGATTTTTAATCAAATCTTGTACCATGCTCTGCATTGCCATCATTTGCTCCTGCATAACTTTCATAAAGTTGTTTATAGTAGCTTCTAGGTTACTACTATTCTGACCAAAAAGAGAAAATTATCGTACAAATTTGTGATGATATCAGGAAAAACAGTGTGGAAAAAAATTCCAAAATTATTTTTTGTCCCGTATTGGGCTCTCATAAATATGGTCACCGTACTTATGTAGGAACTGCATCCGGTCATAATCGCCTACGCTTCACGCCTGATTTGCTTGGAATTTTGTTTTTCTCGTTGTTTTATTTTATGTGACTTGAAAATATTTTTCACTATAAGAAAATATTGAAATTGGATTTAATTTGGGTTAAAGAAAACGACAACTGTGAAAAAATATCAACCAATACATTCAAATAAATTGTCAAATAAGCAAATTTACATTTTTTGTTTGGTCTATCTGGATTACTCCCTGGATTTTGGCGAACGTTCGAAAAAGACCTTCCATATCCAATATGCACGTCGAACAGAGAACGAACTCATAACCAATCTTAGTTTTCCAACGTTCATAGTGTATTGGAAATACACTTGAGATGGATTCGAAAAAAAAACCATAGAAACAAGAGAGGAAGTGAAATTCAGCTCATTTTCGAAGAGAAATATAAGACAATTACTCTCTCTAATTAGATTTTCAATTCAATAATGGGCTGGGTTTCGAATTCATAATGAAGGAAAAATACGTTGGATAACGAAGGTTCCATTTAGCTGGAGAATGGCCTCTCTTCTCTCGAATCGAATACTAATCTATTCCACATTAGTTATCGTAGGTGAGGTTGGAAAAAAAGATTGGTTTTCCAAT